CCGTACATTCTTCATACAGATGCCAGCTGCACCGGTCTTGGTGCAGTCTTGTATCAGGAACATGAGGGCAGGAAGAAAGTAGTCGCTTATGCTAGCCGAGGTTTGTCTCGGAGTGAAGCAAGATACTCTGCACACAAGCTAGAATTCTTGGCACTCAAGTGGGCGGTAACCGAGAAGCTGAGTGATTACTTGTATGGCACTCATTTTACTGTAGTCACAGACAGTAATCCTTTGACCTATCTCTTGACCTCCGCGAAACTTGACGCAACGAGCTACCGTTGGCTTTCGGCACTTTCCACATACTCTTTTAAGATCATCTACAGAGCGGGAAAGCAAAATGCTGACGCGGATGGTCTCTCGCGTCGACCACATGAGGAGGTACCGGAAGACCACTTATCACAGAAGGAGCGTGAAAGGATATTAAGGTTTACCCAGCATCACCTTGAAGATCCTTCCTTAGTCTCCATCGACCAGCACACAGTCCACGCCATCTGTGAGCGACAGCTTGTATTCAGTTCCGCTAATGATGACAACATTACTGCTCTCGTCCAGACGCTTTCCACTGACCCACAATGTCTACCTGATGATTTTGTTGATGATGCACAGGTTGCTTCGTCCGTCATACCAGCTTTCTCTCATGCCGACATCTCAGCAAAACAACGTGCTGATCCCGTTTTGCAACATGTCTTTGCCCAGCTGGAAAGAGGGGAAAGTCCACCTACCCCTCTGAGAACAGCGCTTCCAGACCTGCCTTTGATCCTTCGAGAACTCCCGAAATTGGAGCTCCATCACGACGTTCTTGTGAGGAGGCGGCAGATTGGGAGTGAGATGTCTTACCAGCTGGTGTTGCCCGAAGAATACCGGTCTGAAGCTCTTTTCCAGCTGCATGACCAAATGGGACACTTGGGCATCGAGAGAACCCTAGATCTTGCGCGATCCCGGTTTTACTGGCCTCGCATGTCTGTAGACATTCACAACAAAATAAAGAACTGTGAAAGATGCATCAGACGGAAAACACACCCTGACAAAGCAGCTCCTCTGGTCAATATCACCACGACAAGGCCTTTAGAACTTGTAGCATGGACTTTTTGTCGCTGGAACCCGATCGAAGCAAGACCAAGGACATACTTGTCATAACTGATCACTTCACAAAGTATGCAGTTGCGGTTCCCACGCCAAACCAAAAAGCTAGGACCGTGGCTAAATGCTTGTGGGATAACTTCCTGGTGCATTACGGGATCCCTGAAAAGCTCCATAGTGATCAGGGACCCGATTTCGAAAGCCGCACCATCAAGGAATTCTGTGCAATGGCAGAAATAACCAAGACCCGAACTACCCCATACCACCCTCGGGGTAACCCAGTAGAGCGGTTCAATCGCACCCTTCTGGACATGCTCGGTACTCTTGAAAATCACCGCAAGACCCAATGGAAAGATTTTGTAAAACCATTGGTGCATGCATATAATTGTACCCGGAGTGATGTAACTGGTTTCTCCCCCTATGAGCTTATGTTCGGGCGCCAACCACGTCTTCCAATAGACCTCGCTTTTGGCCTGCCCTTGGGAGAGAAAGTGCAGACATCTCACTCTCAGTACGTCAGCAAGCTCAAAGCCCATCTTGAAGAGAGCTATAAAATTGCCATTGAGAATTCTGAGCGGTTGATGCTCAGGAACAAAACCAGATTTGACAAAAACATTACTGCTTCAGAGTTGTCTGTGGGTGATCGGGTGCTGGTGAAGAATGTGCGCATAAGGGGAAAGCACAAGATTGCAGATCGGTGGGAGCCAGAGGTCTATATTATCATCAAAAGATCTGGTCCACTTCCCGTCTACACTGTTGAACCAGAGAACAAAGATCGTCCTGTTCGAACACTGCACAGAGACCTTCTCTTACCTTGTGGCTTCCTTCCTTCTCCCGCAAAGCAAACCCAGCATAAGGGGGACCGTCCTTTGTCTTCGACAGGTTCGGGGCCCCCAGAATCCTCTGAAGATGGCGATGAAGACCTATCAGACAAAGAAATGTTTCCGAATGTGCCCCGCTCCATCCCAGAACCAATTCGATTCACTTCTGTGGTTGAGATTCCTTCTTCCTCACGCCCCACTTCCACTTCTCACTCACCCGAATTGCCTGTGGTTCCGCCTGGCCAGCAACCTCAGTCTATTCCAGATGAAGAAGTTCAAGTTGCAGTGGAACGTTGTGAGATGGAGCTTGAGCCTGAACCGGAGTCGAATGACTCGCATGACTATGAGAACTTACCTGATGATACCGTACCTGAACTCGAACCCGCAAATACTCACCTCGATCCAGAACCTGATGCAACATTGGAGCCAGTGGACAATTCTTCCTCTGATCCGGAGTCTCTCAGTTCTCCTCCTGACTCGCCCTCTGACCCCAATACGTCCAGTCCAGACATTGACCCACCGGTCCGCCGTCAAACCAGAGAACGCCGTCCCCCTGACCGATTGCAATATTCGAAACTTGGTCACCCCTTGTTCATAGCATTCAGTCTTTGTTTCATGGACTAAGCACAGCGTTCAATTATGCTTTTGAACTCGATGAGGCCCAGCCAACCCTTGCCAGTGCCCAACCGCTGCTGTCAGCCTGTTGCATGTACAGGGCCGTACATGAGTTTAGGTGGGGAACGTGTAACCCGCATTTCCTAACATATTTTTATATTTATTATGGTTGCCCAACATTAATAATGTTTTAAGAATATTGCGGGCCAATAAATGGTGGAGGAATACAGCGTCAGCCCTGCTTCCCTCTAACCTGCGGGGTCATACCAGGTCATTCCCCCCGCCCCTTCCTTGACGGCTCTCTGTGACTGTGGCCTGTGGCGTGCGTCTGGCTTCTCGGCGTCTATTGCCTTTTACCGCGCTGATTTTGCCTCATATCATCTTTTACGTTGAATCTCCGATCCAGGGTGAGTCCATATACAAGTTATGGTCGTATTATGTGCTGCATATCGTTGTGAGCGCTCATGATCGCGTAACTTTCAGAGTATCAGCCAGTGTTTGTTAGCGGGGCTAACAAACCCAACAAACTACTCGGCCTGACATCATCCCACTTCGAATCTGACTCTGTACGTTCAATGGTGAGTTACTTTACAGCAGTTCGGGTTGTCTCTTTTGTGTTTAGCGAGTGATCTTACGTTATATGATGATGTTTCGTTTTGTTTGGTGGTAACCTCGCTGCCGCTCCTATTCAAAACTCCATTTACACACGGTCACTATTGTCCCTGTTTTACATGCGTCCGCGACGCACCAAGCATCGCGTCCAGCATTTAGATTGAGCTATTTTTAGTTCTGATTACGTGTGGAAACCTTGCCGTACTGCAGTAACGCGGCAACAGGTTTCCATCCTTTGTTAATTTGATATTTTTAACGTAGCTACGTGTTTATTTTTGATCGTTGCGCAACTTGACTGACTCTGCTTGCGTGTTTAAGTATTATTTCTTGATCTCTGCTCAAATAATCTATATCAGAGTATTTAATGAATTACTTGAGTATGTATTCAATGAATCAAACTGACTTAAAGTGCACTTGTTTTGAGATGTAGGTTCCTGAATCGAAGAACCTTTATGATATTGATCAGCTATTTAGTGGTTGATTTATGATTTGATTTTGGTTATAAATAATATAACTTTAGCGTATTTTACATAAAATATGTACCTTTTTGTAACAGTTACATATGGAAATATGTATCTACATTTACTTCTCTGTACATTCCACATGTACATCATGTACCTTTTAGTAGAATAGTTTATTTATACAAATGCTTATTTTGTGTTTTTGTTTGTTTTGACCTTTCCAGGTCAGGCTTTTGTTTTTACGTTGGATTATTGCAACGGCTCTTCGACCGACTGCAATCACCTTCTGATGGCGAGCTATTGTTCTACCTGAGTGGTAGGATCTTGAGTACTTGAACTTTTTCTGAATCCCAAAAAGGAACTCTAAAGACTCTAAAAGGAGCTTAAAGTACCGTTATGAGCCCACCATAACTGAATTGAACTGACCTACCAAAGGACACTTTTTGTTTTTGTATTTTTCTTTTTGTATTAAGAATATTTCCTTATATCTGCCCTATTTATAGCAACACATGTAAATAATGTAATATCGTTATCGCATACCTCACCTAATAATTATAGAATCTGTGACTACAATCAATATATATATATATACTTTTCTAACAACGCAATTGATTTTGTCTGTGTTTCATTCACACACCTTGGCTCCTTGGCCGAATCTACTTCTGGTCAACCTAATTGTTCACTCTGCTACTAGCCTAGCGTTACATCAGGGCTGCGTATTGAGCCCCTTTCTCTATTCACTTTATACCCACGACTGCATCTCTACAGCTGAGTCCATCGCTATTTTTAAGTTTGCCAATGACACAGTGGTGTTATGTCTAATCTCCGGCAATGAAGAATCCTCCTATTGCCTGGATTTAAACTGTTTTATGGAGCAAAAATATCAAACCTTGAACATTAGAAAAACGAAATAGCTCCTAATGGACTTAGGAAGAGGTGGAGAGAGTTGATTGTTTTAAATATCTACGGGTGCACATCTCACACAACCTGAGCTGGAACCCACACACCAAATTTGTAGTGAAGAAAGCAAGTCAGCACCTGTCTTATCTGAGGCGACCAAAAGACCAACGGTGCTGACAAACTTTTACACCTGCACCACGAGAACTTCCTGACGAGGAGTATCACTCTGTAGCACGGAAGCTCCACTCTGCAAGACCGCCTGGCCCTCTGGAGAGTGGCCCGTTCAGCGGAGAGGACCAATACGATGAACCTCCCAACAACTCCCCCGGAATGGACTGTTCAGATTGCTGCCATCTGGGAGGCGCTATTGTCTCCTCAAAGTAAAAACTATTTTCATTGTTTATTGTGAACACTATAACTATGAAACATCTGCTGGAGGGTACATACGTATTTCACTGCATGTAATGTGTATGTGACAGTAATAAACTTGAAGTTAAGCAGGGTGTGATACCTGGTTGAGGTTAACTGGAGCAGACAGGATGTGATCCACGCTGCTCTGAGGTAATGAAGCGTTGTTCTTCAGAAAGTGGCTCAGGGTCTCGTTCTCCTGTAAGAAGTGTCTCAGCTGGAACCCTGCACACACAGAGAAGACCGCTATCAGACCACAAAGTGCACGCTGTATCATCCACCTCATCTCCTCCTCCTCACCTTACAAATCCCCTAAGGATCAATAAACTACAAATGATCTGCTGAGAAGGTCACATGGTACATCCACACGCTTCAATCATTGTACTGCATGCCCCTAAAGATGGGATATCCAAAATGTTTGTTTATTTTACCCCTTGTAAAAGTAAAAGTAAATCAAACCACCAGATGATGTCTTGATCTTAAATCTTGACTTTTGCATGCTACGTAAGAACACTCACACTTGATTTGACTCTCGAGGCACTATTTCCATTACTATTTAATTTTCTGCCTGAAAAAGTTGATCGAAGATGTGATCAAAGCTAAAGGTAAATTAACCAGTCAAATGGATCTAAATTGGTTGTGTTTGAAAGTTATAGTTCCCCTGCTTTAAAGGGGAAATAGTTGTACAAAGGATTCATGCAGAGTTGAGTCATTTGATAATAATAATAACAATGCATCAGTTTTATAAATCACTTTCAAAGACGCTTCACATGTAACTATTTAATCACTCCATACACGGTGGTCATAAACCAGTGCTGAAGCCAAAGCTGCCCTGGGGCACACTGACAAAAGCAAGGCAACCAATATATCTGCTCCACCAACCATTTATGTCATACATGTCCATAACTCATGTCATGTGGCCCTCTGCCACTAACACGAGCCATTGAGGTACTTTCACACTAACATCCAGCCAACTTCAGCTCCTCCAATATTGTCATGGTATACCTCGCTGTAAAACTCAGAACCTCTGAGATCCAGTCATCCACTTCATTTGTATGTACTGGGTCAGAACATTCCAAACATGCCGCTAATGCAGATGTGGTGTGAATCAATAAGACATAGAATACACTTCTTAAAGCTCACAACAGCCCAAATACAGCCAAAACAGATCTATAATCTATGTTGTCGGTCCCTGAATAAGTCTTCAGAACTAAAATGGCACTCTTACTGGAAAGTTTGATTTACGTTGTCAGCTGACTCTGATTCTAGACAATGTGGGTGAAGTGTCTTGTCTAGTGTCTGGACATTGTAAAGCGCTTTGGGTGACCTTGGTCTGTAAAATGCGCTAAATAAATAAACATTACTTATTTACTTACTTACTTACTTGTCTGACAAAATGAAAGTTTGACACTGCACAGGGCGGTGGTGCTCTCATCACTGCTGTTTTTACTTACTTTACTTACTCATTTTCTTTTCTGACACACTCTGAAAAGATATTGGTTGAAAAACTGATATTGATTAGATTAATCCATGTATTGGTCATGATGAAACATTTGCATCCATCAGTACTCTCACAAAATAGATGGATTGAAAACAAAACCATAGCAGTGCATAGAATCAATGTCAACAAGTTGCAGAATGTATTTATTGTGGGGCCACTTGTCCTGTCAACGCCTGATCCTGTCAAACCTCAGAAGCTAAGCAGGAAAGGCCTTATTAGTGCTGAGATGGGAAACTTTGGAGGCCACAGTGGCATGGCCAAACTTTCCACATCTCGTTAGGCAAGACACTTCATCCACATTGTTTTGTGTGTGTTCACACATGGATGCACAATGTTCTGAATATATAACATAATATATAATAATCTGCTATATAGCAGATTGAAGTATGTCTTCTTCAACTTTTGCACTGATTGTAATCAGTCAGCATGTGTTATTATCATGTCACTATTATATCGACTGGTACAGTAAAATGCCCTTCCATGTGTGAATAAGGAAAGTACCTCTCCAGAGAAACAGGTTGGAAACGTATTTATAATGTGGATCAGTTTAGTCCTGTCAATAATTGAAGCAGAAAGCAGAATCATGAAAACATTGTCGTGCAATATTAAACATTCAAAATGAAAAAGAGAAATGTACAAATATATATATATATATATATATATATATATATATATATATATATATATATATATATATATATATATATATATATATAGGCAAGGCAAGGCAAGGCAAGGCCTATATATATATATATATATATATATATATATATATATATATATATATATATATATATAGATATATTAGTATATATATATATACATATATTTATATATATTTTACCATGACTGCATTTTTTTTTTTATTGATTTCACAATCAGCTAAAATTATTTTACTTAGAGACTTTCTTTTACAAATTAATTCCAGTCCAATAGAAACGCTATGAGCATTGTTGCTAGGCAGATTTATGAGAAGGCTCAGCTTCTGATTGGACAAACAGGCGGGCCATTGTACCCAGGTGGTTTATAGGACTTTAAATCTCACAACGGGTTTAGTACGAGACCTGGCCCAGTCCTGGGTTAGACTGAACTTTAGCTGAATAACGTAAAGAGAAGCACATTTTTGTCGGCAGTCCTGGGAATGCAGTTGTCAAAGTAGTTTTTGTACAGTAATGTCTAACTGCATGCAGCAGAGTATTGCAGTAGTGGTACCAGGTCTAGTATGTGGACGTCCCATTGGACTGCAGTATCGCAGGGGTCTGGTTACAGCTCTTTGTCAGAGTTTTAGCCTCATTTAACTGCCACAAAAGAAGCTCCGAGTGAAAATGTGGAAAGACTAGGGCAAGTGTACAGGACAGTGGCGGGAGCGAGGGGAGGGGCTCTTGTACTGCACCGGCCACCTCTACCGGTTAGAAAGCTTTTCTTTCATTTATATAGGCGTGCACATTTCATCATGGCCTCAGAGATTTGGAAATCTGGAACAGTATTCCTGTTGTGATTGGCTGTTTCAGAATGGGACAGACAAACTTTGTTCTCCTCATACATTTAGAAAGTTATGACTTCTTTATGTACAAGTGTTATTCTGATAAGACAATGATTGTTAAAAGCTTTTACTGTTTTACACTCCTTTACACTCTTTGTCTTAAGGAGAACACTTTGAGCCTGGTTCGGCTCACTTGACTTTAGGCCTGCGTTGCGTTGATTCAAGCAAATGAATCATAAAGATGGATAATGAGGCGATTTTGACATATTCATATGAACAGATTTGACTTATCTCATAGAACAATCAGTGAGCATTATGTCATTATGTCTCACTTTCCCCCATTCCCCTCCATCCCTGTGTGTTCTTTTGTCTGTTGTTTTTGTTTATTGTGCGTTTGTTTGTCTGTGTGATTGTTTTTGTGTACAGTAAAATCATAAATGCTCCAAATCCAATTTATAATTATTATATTGTTGAAGATGTTTGGGTTACATTTGTGTGGTCAATCCTGTATGCCAGGGGCGTCCAAACTTTTTTAGTAAGAGGCCACTTTTTAAAAAATGTCAATGTTGTAGTTGCACAAAAGAATAAAAAGAGAAATAAGTGCACTCAGATTATGCACACAACAAACAAGATCTATTATTTAAGATAATAGATTATAAAATAATAAAATAATAGATAAGATAATGAACTCTGCAGGTATAATTGCACTTGGGTCAAGGATAAGTCACTTGTGGAGTAAACACTAAAGCCAGAAGCAGTGATGAGGTTTCACATTTACAGATAGTTAGTATTACTTTTCTTACCTCTCTTCTTTGACTGTTGCACCGAGCCAAAGCAATTTCCGAGTCTGTGACTTCCTGTTACGTACTTGGTAATAAAAATTATTCTGATTCGGAGTATTATTTTTTACATGCAAACTCTCTGCAGCTCAGTGAATATGTGTAATATTGTGTGATATTAGTGTGAATCAAGCTAAAACAACTATAAAAATGTATTGAAGAGGGAAAACATGGATAAAGGAGAAAGAAGGTCATTTTTTTTGCATTTCATGTGTCCTTTAGCATAGTCCAGTTCCCTTTGCCCTGTTTGGGGGCGACTCCAGCTGAGGGCTAAAGAGTTGAAGTCTTCAGCTGAGCAAACACAGGCTCTGCTCATGTCAGCTGAGAGCAGCACCACTGTCCCGTACTCTCATGGACATGTCTTATGGCTCAATTTACATCATTGAAACGTCTGTACATAATAATACTTTCATCCAGATATTCTGCAAAAATATCGTTTAACCTTGTGCCAACATTGTGTCTAATCCAAAATAGACCTCAAACTATTAGTTATGTATCTATTCTATTCTATATCTAGCTGTATGTATTCTGCCTATGAAAAATATATTCAGATTCTCTTACTACCTCTCAAACCACTAAGTTTCAATAAACAACTTCTAATCAAATACCTCCCTTCTCCACCGGTGTTCCCCAAGATTCAGTGCTTGGCCCCCTCCCCTTCATCATCAACATGTTATCGCTTGTTGCCAAATCATGGACTCATCGTGGACTTTCACTGCTGCCTAAACGGATCCCAAGTCTCCATTTCCACCCGATTCCATCAGGCCTACCTCTCAGATATTAAAACAGCAACTTTCTAAAACCCAACAGCAGAAAATCTTATCCTCAGAGGTTTCAGAGTTTCTTTCTGACCAGACCTTCTTCCTCAACATCGATGGCCACAGAGAAGAATTTTTTGTGAAAGGGGAGTTCCTAATATTAGTGTTGGTGGAGCTGAAAAACAACTTGGAACAGGTTGGAAATATTGGAACACGGTTGAATGTGATGGAGTCTGCTGAGAGAGAAGACATAAACTACCTAACTTCAACTATGCAAAAATATCTGTAGTTTTCACATGCCACATCTTTAGATCAGCTTTATCAGACATAAAAGTTGAAAAGAGAGGACCCCTGACTCAGCCAATCAGCTCTCAGCACAAAGCATCAAATTGTGACTGACAGGGTTCTTTCGGATGCTAAATGTAAATGCTACAGTAATGTGTTGTGGTCTATTTGTTCACAACATATTACTTTTACATTACTCTCTCCCTTAGAACAAACAATATGTATTATTTATGAAACAATGAAGTTAGGTAAAGCACCTTTAACTCCACTTCAACACAATCCATTGACAAAAGAACCTGCATGTCGGCAGGTTCCTGATAAGCGTTGCGAATGACGTGAGGCATGTGGTGGAGTGTGGGAGAGAGTTTTGGTGTCCCGGGGCAGTGTTCAGAGCAGTGACTCAGGCTTTCCTGTCTGTGCCTGTCCCAAAACACACATTGGGATCACGGACAGGGGGGGGGCAGAGCTTCCGAATCACCCCAGTGCGCACCGACGAGCCGCAGCATGCACCTTCAATCATTATCCTGCTCCCATTTGAATGAAAAGAGAATTTGGGTCAAATTGTGGTTTGCACGTAGCCTGGGTGCAGCCGAACTGTAGCCCCGCTAACATCATTTTCCAGCGGGAAGTTTGGTCTGGCTGCTTTAGAATTAACCAATCAGCCTCTCGTTGGCTTGACTGAGGGCCAGCAAGCTTTTAATGTGTGCGTATCTTTTGACTGGATGTGCAAGGAATGTGCAAGGAAGGGACGTATCAACAGAAATAAGCAGAAAGACGGAGCCCCTGGAGAGGAGAACACTCAGCCGGGGCAGAGCCGAGGCTAAAAGCTGATGGAAATAGTTAATATAATTTATTAACAAACAAATCCACAGAGCTAGGCAATATCTAATCAAAACATGGCGCTGCGTCCTGCCTCAGTCACAACCACATGCATATTTATTTTTTTTTTTTTTTTCACATGCATATTTTATGCTTGTCGTCTGGATAAGTTTGGTTCAATCTTGTGGACGGTATAGTTGGACTTTCCCACATTAATGAGCAGAGTCAGAACAGTTAAAACGCCAGTGTTGAACATTCGGCCTCGTTCTCAACACTGACAGTGTGAATAATGTTACGCATTGTGCATGTGTGTGTCATATACTTTAGTGTCCTCTGCATGTGGCCTTTTCTTCAATACCGCCTCTCAGTGTTGTGCCAGTTCACAGCTTTTCTGAACTAGTTCAAGTTCAGTTCGTACATGTTCAAAGTGAACAGTTCACGTTCAAAGTTCACATTTTTAATTCTGAACTAGTTCAAAGTTCAGTTCATTTTACTTTTTTTGTGAGATATTCAAATAAATATTTTTTTCACACTACGAGCTAGAAATCACATTATATATATAAGTATATATCCTGTACATCGCACAGGATGAGAGCCTTTTGACTCCAAAACAGACAAGATCTACATTGGGAGGAAAAAACGGAGTTGCCACTGCTCATAAGTACTACAGTAATGCGCTGCAGTGCGTGTGCCTATACTTTATGTCAAATGTAAACGGGTGGTCCTGTGTCGCTAACTAGTTGTGTTATCATCACAACTTGGGCACATGTGAGTCCAACAACCAAAGAAAAGCACTAGCTCACAGCGCCGCACCGGCTGGCTCAACACTGAGTCGGGGTGCGTTCACAGACGGTGAACACCGTAGGAATTTTTAGTTTTCGGCGGAAAAAGTGCGGAGAATACAGGAGGGAGGAACTTTTCTCTCGTTGTGTTTCAAGAGAAAACAAATTCCAACGTTCATAGAGATATCTGCTGTTCATGACACATAAAATGAACTAATTCACGTTCAAGTTCTTTATTAAAAAATGTGTTGCGTTCAGTTCAACGTTCACAAAAAAATGAGCGTGTTCACGCACAACACTGCCGCCTCTGTCAGTGCCCAGGAGCTCATCTCCAGATGCACTTGGTCACGGCTGGAGGATTGTATTGGGTATTAATTTGAAACCTTAACTTTTATTTTACTTCTGGCACATAATTTCAAACCAACAAACACACAGAGAGAAAGTCAGGCCGACATAAGAGTGTAACTTGCAACTCATACCTATGCATGTGTGTGTGACCCACCTGTTCTGCTCTCCTGTAGTTCCCGCAGAGCAGAGGACAGCTCCTTGAAGCCCTCCAGGTTCTTGTCATTCTGGCTGTACAGCAGGATCTTCTTGGCATCGGAGAAAAGTCGAGAGATTCTGACAAAAGTAAAACACATCAACACTATGTTACATAACTCTTTTTGATCTGAGAACATACAATACTCATCGTATTGTGTTGGGGAGAAACTAAACATCACAGAGGACACAGAATTCCCACATAAGTGTCATTTTATTTGCTCTTAGATGCATCTGATGGACTCGTCACAATTGTTTTCAATTATTCAATTGAATTGAATTGACGAGAAGAGAGATATTTTTCACTAGTGCTTTTAAAATAAACTGTACTCACTTTTGTAGTCAAAGAGAAAAGCATGTTGTGTCTTCTCTAACAGCTCTGTAATCCACCCTACCTTCAGTGGGACAGTGTCTCTCTCTCTGTGGGACAGTGTCTCTCTCTCTGTGGGACAGTGTCTCTCTCTCTGTGGGACAGTGTCTCTCTCTGTGGGACAGTGTCTCTCTCTCTGTGGGACAGTGCCTCTCTAAGTGGGACAGTGTCTCTCTCTGTGGGACAGTGTCTCTCTCCGTGGGACAGTGTCTCTCTCTCTGTGGGACAGTGCCTCTCTCTACGTGGGACAGTGTCTCTCTCTACGTGGGACAGTGTCTCTCTCTCTGTGGGACAGTGCCTCTCTCTGTGGGACAGTGCCTCTCTCTGTGGGACAGTGCCTCTCTCTCTGTGGGACAGTGTCTCTCTCTGTGGGACAGTGTCTCTCTCTGTGGGACAGTGTCTCTCTCTGTGGGATAGTGTCTCTCTCTACGTGGGACAGTGCCTCTCTCTCTGTGGGACAGTGCCTCTCTCTGTGGGACAGTGTCTCTCTCTGTGGGACAGTGTCTCTCTCTCTGTGGGACAGTGTCTCTTTCTCTCTGTGGGACAGTGCCTCTCTCTACGTGGGACAGTGTCTCTCTCTCTCTGTGGAACAGTGTCTCTCTCTCTGTGGGACAGTGTCTCTCTCTGTGGGACAGTGTCTCTCTCTGTGGGACAGTGTCTCTCTCTCTGTGGGACAGTGTCTCTCTCTCTGTGGGACAGTGTCTCTCTCTCTGTGGGACAGTGCCTCTCTCTCTGTGGGACAGTGCCTCTCTCTGTGGGACAGTGCCTCTCTCTGTGGGAGAGTGTCTCTCTCTCTGTGGGACAGTGTCTCTCTCTCTGTGGGACAGTGCCTCTCTCTGTGGGACAGTGTCTCTCTCTGTGGGACAGTGTCTCTCTCTGTGGGACAGTGTCTCTCTCTACGTGGTATAGTGTCTCTCTCTCTGTGGGACAGTGTGTCTCTCTCTGTGGGACAGTGTCTCTCTCTCTGTGGGACAGTGTCTCTCTCTGTGGGACAGTGTCTCTCTCTCTGTGGGACAGTGCCTCTCTCTGTGGGACAGTGTCTCTCTCCGTGGGACAGTGTCTCTCTCTCTGTGGGACAGTGCCTCTCTCTACGTGGGACAGTGCCTCTCTCTACGTGGGACAGTGTCTCTCTCTCTGTGGGACAGTGTCTCTCTCTCTGTGGGACAGTCTCTCTCTGTGGGACAGTGTCTCTCTCTCTGTCGGACAGTGTCTCTCTCTGTGGGACAGTGTCTCTCTCTACGTGGGACAGTGTCTCTCTCTACGTGGGACAGTGTCTCTCTCTCTGTGGCACAGTGTCTCTCTCTGTGGCACAGTGTCTCTCTCTGTGAGACAGTGTCTCTCTCTGTGGGACAGTGTCTCTCTCTGTGGGACTGTGTCTCTCTCTGTGGGACAGTGTCTCTCTCTGTGGGACAGTGTCTCTCTCTCTGTGGGACAGTGTCTCTCTCTCTGTGGGACAGTGTCTCTCTCTGTGGGACAGTGTCTCTCTCTGTGGGACAGTGTCTCTCTCTCTGTGGGACAGTGTCTCTCTCTCTGTGTAGCTCAGTGTCTCTCTCTCTCTGTGGGACAGTGTCTCTCTCTGTGGGACAGTGTCTCTCTCTCTGTGGGACAGTGTCTCTCTCTCTGTGGGACAGTGTCTCTCTCTGTGGGACAGTGTCTCTCTCTGTGGGACAGTGTCTCTCTCTCTGTGGGACAGTGTCTCTCTCTCTGTGGGACAGTGTCTCTCTCTCTGTGGGACAGTGTCTCTCTCTGTGGGACAGTGCCTCTCTCTGTGGGAGAGTGTCTCTCTCTCTGTGGGACAGTGTCTCTTTCTCTGTGGGACAGCGTCTCTCTCTCTGTGGGACAGTGTCTCTCTCTCTGTGGGACACTCTGTGGGACAGTGTCTCTCTCTCTGTGGAACAGTGTCTCTCTCTCTGTGGGACAGTGTCTCTCTCTCTGTGCGTCAGTGTCTCTCTCTCTGTGGGACAGTATCTCTCTCTGTGGGACAGTGCCTCTCTCTGTGGGAGAGTGTCTCTCTCTCTGTGGGACAGTGTCTCTCTCTCTGTGGGACAGTGTCTCTCTCTCTGTGGGACAGTGTCTCTTTCTCTGTGGGACAGTGCCTCTCTCTACGTGGGACAGTGTCTCTCTCTCTGTGGGACAGTCTCTCTCTGTGGGACAGTGCCTCTCTCTCTGTCGGACAGTGTCTCTCTCTGTGGGACAGTGTCTCTCTCTGTGGGACAGTGTCTCTCTCTGTGGGACAGTGTCTCTCTCTACGTGGGACAGTGTCTCTCTCTCTGTGGCACAGTGTCTCTCTCTGTGGCACAGTGTCTCTCTCTGTGGGACAGTGTCTCTCTCTGTGGGACAGTGTCTCTCTCTGTGGGACAGTGTCTCTCTCTGTGGGACAGTGTCTCTCTCTCTGTGGGACAGTGTCTCTCTCTCTGTGGGACAGTGTCTCTCTCTGTGGGACAGTGTCTCTCTCTCTGTGGGACAGTGTCTCTCTCTCTGTGGGACACTCTGTGGGACAGTGTCTCTCTCTCTGTGGGACAGTGCCTCTCTCTGTGGGAGAGTGTCTCTCTCTCTGTGGGACAGTGTCTCTCTCTCTGTGGGACAGTGCCTCTCTCTACGTGGGACAGTGCCTCTCTCTACGTGGGACAGTGTCTCTCTCTACGTGGGACAGTGTCTCTCTCTCTGTGGGACAGTCTCTCTCTGTGGGACAGTGCCTCTCTCTCTGTCGGACAGTGTCTCTCTCTGTGGGACAGTGTCTCTCTCTACGTGGGACAGTGTCTCTCTCTACGTGGGACAGTGTCTCTCTCTCTGTGGCACAGTGTCTCTCTCTGTGGGACAATGTCTCTCTCTGTGGCACAGTGTCTCTCTCTCTATGGCACAGTGTCTCTCTCTGTGGGACAGTGTCTCTCTCTCTGTGGGACAGTGTCTTTCTCTCTGTGGGACAGTGCCTCTCTCTACGTGGGACAGTGTCTTTCTCTCTGTGGGACAGTGTCTCTCTCTCTGTGGGACAGTCTCTCTCTCTCTGTGGGACAGTGTCTCTCTCTGTGGGACAGTGTCTCTCTCTCTGTGGGACAGTGTCTCGCTGTCTGTGGGACACTCTGTGGGACAGTGTCTCTCTCTCTGTGGGACACTCTGTGGGACAGTGTCTCTCTCTCTGTGGAACAGTGTCTCTCTCTCTGTGGGACACTCTGTGGGACAGTGTCTCTCTCTCTGTGGGACACTCTGTGGGACAGTGTCTCTCTCTCTGTGGAACAGTGTCTGTGGCACAGTGTCTCTCTCTCTGTGGGACAGTGTCTCTCTCTGTGGGACAGTGCCTCTCTCTGTGAGAGAGTGTCTCTCTCTCTGTGGGACAGTGTCTCTCTCTCTGTGGGACAGTGTCTCTCTCTCTGTGGGACAGTGCCTCTCTCTACGTGGGACAGTGCCTCTCTACGTGGGACAGTGTCTCTCTCTCTGTGGGACAGTCTCTCTCTGTGGGACAGTGCCTCTCTGTCGGACAGTGTCTCTCTCTGTGGGACAGTGTCTCTCTCTGTGGGACAGTGTCTCTCTCTACGTGGGACAGTGTCTCTCTCTCTGTGGCACAGTGTCTCTCTCTCTGTGGCACAGTGTCTCTCTCTGTGGGACAGTGTCTCTCTCTGTGGGACAGTGTCTCTCTCTCTGTGGGACAGTGTCTCTCTCTGTGGGAGAGTGTCTCTCTCTCTGTGGGACAGTGTCTCTCTCTGTGGGACAGTGTCTCTCTCTCTGTGGGACAGTGTCTCTCTCTCTGTGGGACAGTGCCTCTCTCTGTGGGACAGTGCCTCTCTCTGTGGGAGAGTGTCTCTCTCTCTGTGGGACAGTGTCTCTCTCTCTGTGGGACACTCTGTGGGACAGTGTCTCTCTCTCTGTGGGACAGTGCCTCTCTCTGTGGGACAGTGTCTCTCTCTCTGTGGGACAGTGTCTCTCTCTCTGTGGGACAGTATGCTTACATGGAGTCGTTGAAGTTCCCAACGACCCCCGGAGACTCTCCCGGAGTGGGGCTCCTGAAGCATGGGTTGTTGGCGTTACACAAGATGCCCTGTATCCACGGCAACGTACCCGCCGACGGCATGGCTTTGTTTGGGAAATGACCTGCAAAATAGCAAGGATCAGAGCAAGCTGGATCTTCTGAACACTTATTTTGGCATTTCATCCTTTACAAGATGAAGTAATTTAGAAGATACATACCTAACAGATAATTGGAGAAATAGAGAACAAGAACGAGCAACACACATACAGTACATAGATTTAGATTTAAATCTAACGGGGCCTGGCGTAATTTAAAGGACACAATTGTAAAAAAAAAGTTATTCAAGTGAAGCAAATTCCAAAACTGATTTAGAGGCAAACCTCAAATCCGTCAGAGAGTGTGAAGGTTTGTAATTGTTTGAAAAGAGTGCATGAAGGGGATTTCATATTTCCAAATGGATTTCTACAGGTTAAATCTATGGGAGAAAAAACACAGCTGCACCAAAAGTGAAGAGGAAATCAAGCAGGACTTTAAAGTGGATGAAGTTGTCTTTCTTCATGAGTGAGAAAGCCACTCCTAATCCAGGTGATAATCCCAAACAAAACAACGCGTAAATGTGTGGGCGAACTGGAGCTGTTTGAGGAGGGCGTGGCCTACAGAGTCGCGGCACGAGATCTGATCCCGGGTCGAGGGGGTTTGATTTGGGAGTCAGGGGAGCGAGCTGGGAGAGACACCAGGCCTCAGACACATGAGGAGGGGGAGGACATCTCTGACTGACTGTAAATGTCAAAACAAGGACTAAAGAACGCAGGGCTGAAGCAGGACTGAAACAGGTCTAAAGTGGGACTAAATTAGGTCTAAAAAACAGGGAAAAAGTAGGACTGATGCAGAACTAAAGCAAGTCTAAATCAGGACTAAAGCAGGACTAAAGCAGGACTAAAGCAGGTCTAAAGCAAGTCTAAAGCCAGACTAAAGCAGGACTAAAGCAGGACTAAAGCAGGTCTAAAGCAGGACTAAAGCAAGTCTAAAACAGGTCTAAAGCAGAACTAAAGCAAGCTAGCTTAGGTCCTAGATCATTAGCCTGTCCGTCCGGAGGAGCGGATCCCTTTCTCATATGGGTCTCCCTCCCTGTGGGTTTCCCTAGTGCTCCCCAAGGTTTCTCACGTTTTCCCACTGGGTTTTTTAAGAGTTTTTCCTTGTCGATGCAGGAGGGTCTTGTTGGACAGTTAGTGTCCAACAGAAAGGATTGGTGATGATCAGGACACTTTAGCATTCTATAACATGTATGGACATTTTCTTCTGTGTGTGCTTTATATTCTTCATGTGTTTTAACTGTTGATTCTCTGACCTGTGTTGGTGATTTCAATGGTTTTGTTAAGTCCTCTGAGAAGTCTAAAGCAAGTCTAAATCAGGACTAAAGTAGGACTAAAGTAGGTCTAAAGCAGGACTAAAGCAGAACTAAAGCAGGACTAAAGCAGGACTAAAGCAGGTCCAAAGCAGGACTAAAGCAGGTCTAAAGCAGGTCTAAGCAGTACTAAACATCAGCCTGCCCAGGGACTACGGGTGGAAATTAGCCTGGTATAATGCATCTCTCTCTTTGTGATTAATGTTTATTATACACTGTCCCTGTCACTTTAAATAGATACAGTATAGTAAACTAAAGCAGATTAATAGCAGGTATAAATCCGGACTAAAGCAGGTCTAATGCTGGTCTATTTCAGATCTAACGCTGGCCTAAAGCAGGACTAAATGGTCTAATGCAGGTGTACAACAGGTCTACAGCAGGACTAATCCAGGTCAAGGCCGGCAGCAGTGACGTGAGCCTTTGGGAGATGATTCTGCACGTGTTGCCGTGGATCCGGGCGTGTCGGATCACATGAACTTTGGTGTGAGTGAAGTGGATCTGATTAGATAAAAGTGTGAGCTCCACAGGTCGGACTTCGTCACATTCACCAGATTCACAGCTGTGGACCACGCTCCCGTCGGTTTCTCTCGTCATGTACACACGGAAAGGACTCATTTATATTCTCTGACACCGTCTCTGACCTTTAAAACACACCCCTTTTTCCCTGACTTTGTTCTGCCATTTTTTCTGTTACTTTATGTGTGATGTTACGTACAGCATAGCAAGACACAATGTATTTATTTATTTTATCTTTGTTTCCCACTATCCTCCCCTTGTGCCTTGGTTTTATATTACATTGTTCCGTCATACACATTGTAAGGATAATTTGTCATTTCTGAACAGAGACGTAACTCATAAAAATTATTCATATTCCTCAGCTGTCCTGGTGGTGACCTCAACAACTTACAGGCGGAAAGCATTACTCTTCATCCATGTTTCATCACATATTTTCACAAGATATTAGGTCCCATTCCAAACATGAAAAGTAAATAGTCTCGATAACATTATTAACGGCCAAAAATGCATGCAGTTCTCATTTAGGGACAATTATATCGCTTTAAAAAACTCTTTTACTCTGAGAAGACTTGTTTTTCCACCGACTTAGCTTGTAACTTAGCCAACTGAAGACACTTCTTTGTAATGTAAAAGGAGAGTTTAATGACAAACTGTTTACATATCCAGGAAAAAACAACAGAATTTAGATGAGCTCGAGAAAAAAAACAGGATGCTACCAAAGCAGCTCAGGAATGCACTTTTAATGTCATCAAACTGTTGATGGGTTCTAGGAGTACTCAGAGTAATCCGACCCAGCATTACACACTTTCACTTCAGCAGCAGTTCAATCTTTTACAACATACTGACGTCACTTTCTGTTTGGCTCCATTTGAATATGCTCTGTTCGAGTATGGCTCAAATAAAGACTATGTGCTTTGAAAATGCATTAGGACTAAAAAGGCCTCAGTTATGTGTTAATCACATAATCCCAAAATACTAAACATTAAAAATAAGACACGCACAAAATTGAGCTCAAGCGTAAATTCAGAATGGAAAACCAAAGAGACATCATGCTGCCACAGTGACTCCTCCCCCTCTGCACTGACTCCTCCCCATCCGCACTGACTCCTCCCTCGACACACCTGTGCCAGAGCTCAACGTCAGCCTCAGCAGCTCAGTAACACACCTGTGCTCGTCATCACTTCACGGCTGCATTTAAACAGAGCCGCTCAGTTCTCTGAAGCTCAAGCTGCTGTTCAAGCAGCAACCCACCTCCTCCTCATCACCACCTCTTCAGTGAAATATCATGTCATGTCTTCGGCTCAGCTTCTTTGCCACCAGGTTCTAGGCCAGGCATGTCAAAGTCAAATACATCAGAGGGCCAAAAAAAATGTTTGCTACGCGCCGAGAGCCGGACTGGTTCAATGTTTCTCAACATCCAGAGGCAGTGCCGGTGACACCTGCTGGCTCGATAAAATATGCTCTAAAGCCAATCCTCATACTGTACATATTAGATGTAATAGACATCTGAGAACATGACAATAGTAAAAAAAAAAAAAGCTCAAACTTGGTGAAATGTAAAAGAGCAGTCTGGACCTCTTTTTGGGCCTCTTTTCAAATCTGAAGAATGGATTATACTTTGGGAAATACAAGTGGATATTCTTCTTCAATGAACAGTTACGGAGAGAAACAGACTAAGCAAGGATGGGGAAAGTCTAATTTGTTGGAGCAGCAGAAGACGAAAGGTAAAAAACAAATACAGACTGATTTATTTTGTGCCCATATTATGCGTTATATCTTTTTAATGCAAAGTCTGATATCGTTTACACTTACATATAAATATAGCTGAGAAAATAAGCTTTAAAATGATATATAGCTTGTGGCTTATGAAGTTAAAAATACATCTGCTATTGCCAGCAGATGTATTTTTTTCCTCGTTTGCTCCCGCCGGCGGGGGCTAGCGAGCTTAAGGGGTCAATACATTGCCTCAATGGCAGGCAATGTCCCGGGGGGTCAAGGCCCGCGGGCCTTGACTTTGACACATGTGTTCTAGGCCCTGGGAGGTCGCAAGCTCTTCATTTCTGTTAAACTCCCTTCTGCACACATCATGCGGTATTCCTGCCGGAGTGTAATTGCCAATCCCAATGCAGTAAATATGTTAGTAATCATTCTAAGTCTGCTGGTGTCTATTCATACATCTTGACAATAAATATTGTTGAACATATCTTTATTACGAGGAACAGCCCTTTGAGATGCATCATCTCGTTTTCAACAGGGTCCTCTATTCTCGGATGAGAATAACATGAAGACCCACAGCACACTCTGAGCCGCACTCCGAGGTCAAAGTCTGTGTGCAAATGCATTATCCACCATTATATGTAAGGTTTGTGGCGATGTAAGCCTAGAGTTTTTTTATAAGAATAAAAAATGGTTCATTCATTGGGAACGGTCGGCCTGTGTCATGTCTGCTGCCTGTGCGTCTGAAGTGAAGCTGGAGGCGCTGAGTTTTGCTAAGATTCCAAACAAGTCTCAACAGCTCCGGCCTCGATCTGTGTTCACTGCCACCGCCACCGCAAAAACCAGCCCACATCTGTAAGCACTGAAGGAGGGACTACGGCAGGTCTAAACGGGGACCAAACAGGGACTAAGAAGGGACTACAGTAGGTCTACACAGGGACTAAAGCAGATCTAAAGCAGGACTAAACAGGGTCTGAAGAAGCTCTGGGTTAGAACTAAACAGGGACTAAATTATGTCAAAAGTAGGACTAAACAGGGACTAAATTAGGTCATAAAGTAGGACTTAACAGGGACTAAATTCGGTCTAAAGTAGGACTAAACAGGGACTAAATTTGGTCTAAAGTAGGACAAAATTAGGACTAAACAGGGACTAAATTCGGGCTAAAGTAAGACTAAATAGGAACTAAATTTGGTCTAAAGCAGGACTAAGCAGGGACTAAATTAGGTCTTAAAGTAGGACTAAACAGGGACTGAATTAGGTTTGAAGTAGGACTAAACAAGGACTAAAGCAAGACTAAACAGGGACTAAATTAGGTCTAAAGTAGGACTAAACAGGGACTGAATTAGGTTTGAAGTAGGACTAAACAAGGACTAAAGCAAGACTAAACAGGGACTAAATTAGGTCTAAAGTAGGACTAAACAGGGACTAAATTAGATCTAAAGTAGGCCTAAACAGGGACTAAATTCGGTCTAAAGTAGGACAAAATAAGGACTAAACAGGGACTAAATTAGGTCTTAAAGTAGGAATAAACAGGGACTAAATTAGGTCTAAAGTAGGACTAAACAGGGACTAAATTAGGTCTAAAGTAGGACTAAACAGGGACTAAATTCGGTCTAAAGTAGGACAAAATTAGGACTAAACAGGGACTAAATTCGGTCTAAAGTAAGACTAAATAGGAACTAAATTTGGTCTAAAGCAGGACTAAGCAGGGACTAAATTAGGTCTAAAGCAGGACTAGAGCAGGTCTAAACCGGGACTAAAGCAGATCTAAAGCTCAACTAAAATGGATCTAAAACAGGACTAAAGCTGGTCTAGATCAAAACTACCACAGGGACTACAGCGAGACCTTACAAATGCCATCATGCCATGTTAGATTCACAGCATCAGAACGTTAAGTCTTTCTTGTACCACTCCATGGAAGTGTGCTGCTCATCCTGGTCATCTCTTATTCCAAATTTCATAAATGTATCCACATATTCTACACTTTAGACATTGTTTCACGTTCTAAAACATGAAGGAACAGTTAATATTCTCAACACTTACACTCATGCTGCTCGTACGGAGGGTAGTTGACGCGGACGGCGATGAGGATGAAGAAGATGAAGAGCGGCCACAAGATCTCCACCAGCAGCTGCAACTGAAGACACACGGACACAGCAGTAAGAATAGGATACTCTCAGAATGTACAACGAACAACGAGAACTGACAAACATTACCGACCTGACCTCACATGTGCTGCATCCGTCAGAATGAGCGATACAGAAGCACATTTGTCCACAGTCACTTTGACCCATCCCCTCAAGCTAACGTGTAACTAACTTGCACCATTATGCTAAAGTAAGAGATTTTTTTTTATTTAGTATAGAGTTATTGTTCTGGAACTTGTGATGCAACACTGAAATTTCCCCACTGTGGGACGAATAAAGGATCTCTTGAAACAAAATGAGACGTGATGGGGATGACAACTGGTGTTCAAATACAGTATATTGTATTTAGAAAAGGACAGCTGTTGAACCATTTGTCCCGATACCTTTGAGCTCCAAAAGTGGGAAGACACAAAAGCAGTTGTTTTTCCTGCTCTCATCACCGTCCCAACAAGCTGTTTAATAATGAGTTTTGGAATATGAGTGATTGTGGAAGGAAGAAAGAACAGCCAATGTTTTATTTTTTATTTAAAGGAGCAGTATGTAAAAATCTGGCCAAAAGTGGTACTGCACTTTCCCTGACTCAGGTTGCCAGATATGCAGACAAATCCAGCTGGGACCATAATAACTGAATGGACAAGAGTTTTGTCAATAACAAATCTATAACCAACACCTTTTTTCACAAAGGCCCCGATAGAAATCCTTGTTTTGTCATTAATGATTTAAGAATCATAATGAGACCTTTTTTAGTTCTGCGGCCACATGGTACTTTACCAGTGAGATTAGATCGACGCGGTGAGTTCTGGCAACCCGGATTACGGACTTTCTGATTGGTAAAACGGTGGAAGGCAGGACATTGAAATTAAAACAATAACAAAATTTAGATGCTGTAAAACTAATTTTGAAGAAGTATTTGAAAAGAGCATGTTTTATTAATGCCTTTTGACAGATTAGGGCCATTTAATTATGATTTGACATTAAAATCTTAGATATTGCTACTTTAAAGATTATTTGCTGCCTCCAAAAATAATAACGATCATTTCATGTTCATACGTACAGAATAATGAGTTTGACCCCAGATGTCCAGAGATTAGCACCGCAGTGTGTGTTTGTATGGCTCAGAGGAGTGAGACCTCCTGTGTCAGTGAGTATCATCTCAGACAGGAAGTGCCTCGTTATGAGACATGAATATTTGATTAGAATCGATCCATGCTCACACTCACAGTACAGCAGAGTGGAGACCTGCTTTAGATCTGATTTAGACCTGCTTTTGTCCTGTTTCAGACCAGTTTAGCTCCGTTTTAGCCTTGTTTTAAACCTGCTTCAGTACAACTTTAGTCTTGCTTTAGTCCTGCTTCAGTCCTGTTTTAGACTTGCTTTTGCTCTGCTTCAGACCTTTTTAATCCTATTTTATATCTGCTTTAAACCTGCTTTAATCCTTGTTTCAACTTGCATCAATTAAAGTTCTCAGACCGGCTTTAGTCCTGCATTAGTCCTGGTTCAGACCTGCTTTAGTCCTGGTTCAGGCCTGCTTTTGTGCTGGTTCAGACCTGCTTTAGTCCATCTCTGGTTTATCATATTTTATCAGAGCAGATAAGAGTGTCACTGTGTCCTCCTCAGCATAATCTGTGTTATCAACTGCACCTGCGCTCTGAACTAGGTCTGAACCAGGTCTGAACCAGGTCTAAACCAGGTCTAAACCAGGTCTAAATGCAAAATTGAACTTGAACTTGCACTCAGAAAAAAAGCGTATTGGGTCTTTCTCCCATCACATATCTTCACCTCCTGTAGTTCTGCACAAACACACACACAGAGGCAATCACATTACCTCATGGCAGGGCAATAAACCGCTGCAGAGTTGTAAAGTGTGATGTCATTTCTCACGTTCCGGTAAACGCTGCAGCAACTTTACTGTGTTTTTCATTTAAGGACACATTCTGGTTTTAACTATGTTCTCTCTAAATGTTTTCTTTTTAAAATGGTTAAACTATCATGAATCCTCACGCTACGAGAACGTCAAGGGCAGAACTGTTTTCTGTCTTTTAAAAACAAAGGCTGTGTCTTTGAATTTGTTTTGGGAATTTCTCCAGTTAAATGACTGCTTGTGAAGTTCTATTGTTCAACTGAGGGATTTTATATTTGTATCTTTCTTTTTAATGTTCTGTGATTATTTATGATTTTAATGCTTTCTTGTTTTGTTCAGCACTTTGAATTGCCTTGTGTATGAATTGTGCTATATAAATAAACTTGCCTTGCCTTGCCTTGCCTATTTCTCTGGAATCTGTTGACTTTGTTTGTTTGTTTTGACTAAAAGTCATTCAGCCAACTTCAGCTCTGTCAAGACTGACATGTTATACCAAATCTTAGGGCTCAGAGCATACTTGATCCAGTCAACCCATGTTGTCGGCCCCTGGGCATTTTTGGTGAACCAAAGTGGCCTTCTTACTAAAAGGTTTGGACAACCCTGTCTTAGATAATAGTGTTCAATATTTAATACTGAAAAACTAATCATTATTGACTGCTATTGACTGAGCCAGAAGGTGGAGAAGTTGGATTAACACAGTGATTGGTTACCAGTGTAACATGTGACATCACCAGTGTGACATATATTAATGATGCATTCTCACTTTTTATTTTAGGTCCAGACTGACTCTGAATGCAGACTGCTTTGGTCCGGTTCTGGGCCTGGCTCTGGTCCGGTTCTGGGTCTGGTCTAGTCTGTGTTTCGGTGTTTGGTTGTTGCGTGTGTGTTCTTACGGTCTGACGCCGTCTGTAGGTGAAGTTCTTCCACAGCAGGAGTCCCAGCTGAGTCCAGGCCGACATCCTTCAAGGCCCTGCAACAAATACATGTGTGAATGAGGTCTGGAACAGGGTCTGTAAACCAGGTCTGAGCTAGGACTGAGCCAGGACTGAGCCAGGTCTAAACCAGGTCTGAGCAAGAACTGAACCAGGTCTGAGCAAGAACTGAACCAGGTCTGAGCAAGAACTGAGCCAGGTCTGAGCCAGGTCTGAGCCAGGCCTGAACCAGGCCTGAACCAGGCCTGAACCAGGCCTGAACCAGAATAAACCAGGTCTGAACCAGAAATGAACAAGGTCTGAGCCAGGACTGAACCAGTACTGAACCAGAACTGAACCAGTACTGAACCAGGACTGAACCAGGACTGAACCAAAGACAGTAAAAAGAGTGACAGATTATTGCTAATATTTCTGATATAATTTGTATAATTCCAGATGAAGCCAATTAGAGCTAACTCAGACAGACTCCATGAGGATTAGAGCTAACTCAGACAGACTCCATGAGGATTAGAGCTAACTCAGACAGACTCCATGAGGATTGAGGATTAGAGCTAACTCTGACAGGCTCCATGGGCAGAAATTTGGACACAAGACTAAGACGAGTTTCCTTTTCAATGTAAGTGAACGGAGCATAGGGAAAAGGAGCAAAAAATCAACGTGAGACCATCACCAAAAATAGCTAAGATAATACCCAATCAATTCCTAATAAACAGTTCAATTCAGTTCAATTTATTTTTGTATAGCCCTAAATCACAACAGTATCAACCTCGGAGGACTTTACAAAAGCGTTGATTCGCCAGCAAAGATTAGAGAATCAAACACAAGAAATGCAATGATAAAAATCACATAGAGTCCATAAGGGGCAGAGACCAATGTCCATAAATGTTGATAAAGTCCATAAATGTTGTTGAATGTGGAGTGTCCTGGATCATCACCACTGTCCTGCATCGACAAGGAACAACTCTAAAAACCCAGTGGGGGAAATAAAAAACAACTGCTAAAGTAACTACAGTACAGTCTATGGTCTGGTAAAAAACTGACTTTATTCTCCGTTATTATCAATCGCACTCTGACCACTTTCAAGTCCCAGTTTACATGAGCCCCACTGAGCAAATGGAGCCCTGTGATGCTCTCAAAGGAATCTAAAACTTTGCCTTTGAGACTTTGGAAGAGTATTTGTGATTAAAATTGTAAGCGCACTTTTGACCAATGCAATCTTGCAACAACTCATTTACTTTGGACATTTGAACAGAAGCAGCAGCTGCACAAGTCACATCATTTAAGCACCACGATTGTCGATACAGTTACTCCAAACAAACTACCAGATGTACCAAATTACACTAGTGCTTTGTAAACATACTTCGGAAGCAGGTCTAAAACAGGTCTAAACCAGGTCAAAACCAGGTCTAAACCAGGTCAAAACCCTGATGTCAAAACCACATCTCAATAAACCCAGGCCAGTTGAATAGTGCACAATATTACTAGTGAAATTAATCAATCAATGATTACATCTAAGGCTTTAATTAACAGTCATTTTGATAATCGATAAGTTGGACTATTATTATTCTTAAAAATATAATGTATCGGTTTAATATTGCGCTTTTTTGGACACTCATAGACACTTCACATGTCATTATTCATTCACTCCATACACGGTGGTGATAAACTACGACTGTAGCCACAGCTGCCCTGGGGCACACTGACAGAAGTGAGGCAACCAGTATGTGCCATCGGCCCCTCAGACACCACCACCAACCATTCACACACACACCAGACTCATTCTAGACAATGGGGGTGAAGTGTCTTGCCTAAGGACACAACGGCAGTTGGCACTTTTCAGCCGCAGCTGCCCCACTGTGGCTCCTGGTGTTCACAGAGGTCTCCCATCACAGTACTAACCAGGCCCTGTCCTGCTTAGCTTCACAGGTCTGAAGGGACCTCAAGATTGATTATATCCTCAATATTAGTGTTCAAGTGATGCCCCTGGAAAACATCTTCATAGAGACGACTTTTTTCACAGTGAGTTCTTTAACTAAAAAACTATTTTTTACGTACAGAATTATTTGAGTAAAGTAAAACCTCTTCTCAGCATCTTTAGTCTAAATATGTGAGGTTCAAAGTATGATTAATAGATTACTAAAATAGCTGACAACTATTTCAATAATCAATGACATTTATTGGATAACTTATTTCCGGGATGCTATGTCCAAAATTGTTCTCAAATGTAAAACTTTGAAAGTCCCATTTTAATGATTTTAGAACTCTGGGCCTGAGAGCAGTGAAATAAAATGCAAATCTCTTTTTCTGGCCCCAGGGTATGTGTGTACTGCTGATTAAGATAGAGTTGTTCTAGATGGTATTGAGTAGATGGGCATTACTGCTTTTGAGAACAACACTAGAGGGCAACAGGTCGTGTACAGCGGCTTATCCGGTGATCGAATCACAATCACACACAGAACGGTCACCTGAGGATTCTGTGGACAAAGAAAGTCAAAACCACACTGCTAGATACAAACTGGTGCGAAAGCTGTGACACATGGAAAAACTATAAGTATGTAATCAAATCCAACTAACTCGGTCCTTGCTTTAAAACAGTTTGGTAGTTTCTGCGTGTCTTTTCAGCCTCTGTCATCACTGAAAAAGACAGGACCACTCTCACTCAGCTAAACAGCGACTCAGAGCTCTTTCTTACACGGATGCAAACGACAGCATGTTGTGGTTGATTCATTCACCGCAATTTACTCTTTCCATTGAGACAAACAAAATGACTTTATGAGAAATGAAAAAAGAAAGATACCCCAAGGACATTGCCTCTGAGGAAGATGGCTGCTTCTACACGCCACGCAATCCAAATGGGAAACTTTCCTTTGTCAATAATCATTTTAATTATCATAATTAAATGATTCTCTCGGCCCTGGATGATCTGCACTAGGACTTTAAAAGACTTTAAAGCCAAGGCGGGTTCAAACAACACGGCCACTTTTCCCACTGTTGTCCCAGGTTGACACGCCATTTCAACAAGTGTCATAAAATCTGTCTGTAGTGAACTCAGGAACCAACAACTGTATTGAGTTTGCATTACTGAGTAACAAGGAACACATTCACTATAGTAAAAGCTGTAGTAGTAGTAGTAATAGTAACTGTAGTAAGTAATAGTAAGTAGTGGTAGTAATAGTAACTGTAGTAAGTAGTAGTAAGTAGTGGTATTAATAGTAACTGTAGTAAGTAGTAGTAAGTAGTGGTAGTAATAGTAACTGTAGTAAGTAGTAGTAGTAATAGTAACTGTAGTAAGTAGTAGTAGTAAGTATTAAGTAGTAGTAGTAGTAATAGTAGTAAGTAGTAGGTAGTAGTAGTAGTAAGTAGTAGTAGTAATAGTAACTGTAGTAAGTAGTAATAGTAAGTAGTAGTAGTAAGTAGTAAGTAGTAAGTAGTAGTAGTAGTAATAGTAGTAAGTAGTAAGTAGTAGTAGTAGTAATAGTAACTGTAGTAAGTAGTAATAGTAAGTAGTAGTAGTAAGTAGTAAGTAGTAAGTAGTAGTAGTAGTAGTAATAGTAGTAAGTAGTAAGTAGTAGTAGTAGTAAGTAGTAGTAGTAATAGTAGTAAGCAGTAGTAGTAATAGTAACTGTAGTAAGTAGTAATAGTAAGTAGTAGTAGTAAGTAGTAAGTAGTAGTAGTAGTAATAGTAGTAAGTAGTAGTAGTAGTAATAGTAGTAAGCAGTAGTAGTAATAGTAGCAGTAGTGGTTATTTTTCAGGATTAATTCATCGTCTGTGCCACTGACATGAGAAGAATTATGTTTATTTCCAGTACTTCTCAGTGACTGGTGAAGGTTTGACCTGAATCACGTCCGTTTGAACGTGGCCGGATCAGAGACGGTCTGAGATGTGCAGCGATGGGACTTCTCACGCACACAGGCAAAGGCTCGTCCAACACCGCGCTGCAGCGTCCAAAGGCCACAGGATAAGGAGGCTAAAGTACCACTACTACTACTGCTACTCAGGGCTGCTAAGGTACTCTTATCGGAAATCAGATATTCATGGATTCTAAAACTAGGATCAACAACTAGAGATACTCCTTGGTGAAAATAGCAGGACATTTTCTGAGCCCTTTAAGAGATTTCGACCAGAATTTGTATAAAACATGATGGTGGTTTCATGAAAAAGTTTGAATTGTCAACTTTTATTTCAAAATGTCTGCAAAATAAAAAAAATACAAAAATGAATATCACTGTGGAATCAGGATTGGTATAATACAGTCTACTCTTTAGTTTAATTACGCTTGTAGTTTCTTATGTGACCACCAGAGGGAGAGTGGTTGTATTTCTGCAAGTCACTTTTAAAATCAAACCGGACATACTGCAGACCCAGCCATGCAGCTGTCAAGGTGGTTATCGCACCGGAGAAATTGCCAAAACTGATCTCGAGGCAAAAGTTCTGAGCGTGATGTCATAGTGTAACAGGTTGGAGACAGGAGCATTGAGGCAGAAGGAGCGGGGGGACATGTTGTTGCGAAAGTTCCTGATCATGCAGGTCTGTTTTTTGATGAGGAATAAATCTGCTACTGTCAGACTGGGTTGGTTCAATCAGTTGGACCTAATTCTTGATAAACTAGGTCAAATTTGGTCAAACTGAGTCAAATTTCAATGGCATTAATGGCTGAGAACTGATCAGCAGTCTTCAACTCACTGACTGCCAGCCGTTCTTGATAATTTCACAGACTTTTAAGACTTACAGAATATCGTGTACTGTGACTATGTAAAATATGAAACCAGATTGTGAAAGACTGGACTGTGTACTTTCATCCGCAATAATATGTTTGTTTCTAGCTAGTTTTGTTCTCCTGTTATCTCCAGTTGAATGGAGGGAAGTTTGAAGGATATCACCAGTCTCAGCCAAATACGTCAATGGCTTTTTAACTATATCAAAGGTGTATAGAACAATTGTCTACTTCCGGGTGGATCATCCAGACTATTGGTCCTCCTGATTGTCAATCATTCTGGTGATACGTGCTCATCAAACACGACCAGAG